AATGTAGCTTTGATTGAAAATATCCTTTACCGGCGGCGGAAATGACTTGCACTGAATAACTGGACCTTGTAAGGCTAAACTTATTTCGCTCAAACTTCGTATTATATTTGCGATAAAAACTATGTAGATATTTCACACGATAAAGCCATAAATACTGTTGGTATTGGTGGGTGTAAGTCAACCCGCCAGCTAAATGACCCAGGTTAAAGCTGGGCAGAAGACGGAGGGTGAACGTACCAGCAAGTGTTCTTAAACCGCCTTCAACCACAGCTTTGTTCTCTGCTGTTTATAAATATCTTTGAGCGTCAAGCTTTCCTTTGAATGAATGGCAAAATTTTTCTAGTGCTTTTCTTCATTATTTTGTACCATTTCTTTCTTATCCTTCCTTTCTATTCCCTTTCATTCATTTTTCATCTGTTTTCTCCCCTTTTTCTCTTCTCTCCTCTTTGCTCCCTTCGACCTCTCTTCTCATTTTTTATTTTTCCTTTCCTCTCCTCCTCTTCCTTTATTCTTTTCTCTCATCTTTCTTCCTTCTCCACCTTTTCGTCCTCAAGGATCATCTTCCTGTGATGTTTATCTAAAATCTGAGGGTGCTATAGTTTAGTGTGTGGTCTACTGAGCTGAGTTGGTCTACCGGGATATTTGCACCGTCGGGTCCATGAACGTAACACCCTGTCACGTCACAACACCACCCCAGAACCTTAATAACTGTCAGAAAATTTTGGTTCTCGAACTTATCTGAGATATTGTCGTTACAGAGCACCACACTAAGTATGTATACAGTCCATCGCTATGTGTGACTTATCGCTATGATAGCCCCCTTCACCGACAATTACACGGCAGAAACAATAGATAACAAGTTTAATTTGTAAACAAGATAATACTCTTAATTAGTAAATAGTAAAACATTTAGTAAATAATATAATACTTATATTTTTATCTAATTCGTAAATAATATAACATGATAAACAGTAAATAAGTCTAGTTTAATATGTATAAAAGATGACACATTCAATAAACATGACAACACGTTTAATAAATAAACAAGGTAACTTAAATCCTTTCAAGACAAGTAATAGTTCCTTGTATTTAACTACGGACTGAAACTATTAATTCTGCCTTTTTTTTCAAAAATTACAACAATTCATTATTTACATCATACTGTACAACACCTTTTTTCGTTTAAACCGACCGTCAGCAACGCTGACCGATACACTTTCGTCGGCGTCGCTGTGCAATGTAATGCATATCACAGACTCATATGAGTATTTTTTCAAATTTATTATTAGATATTAGTTAAACTGTAAATCTGTAACAAACATACAGATATATCACTTTTTTTTTGTACATTTCTTTCTAATTGTATTACTAAAAGTCTAAAGAATGCAATCAGGAACGACTGTGCTAAAATTAATGTGTCAGTATTAATAAATATTCAGTAAAACTTCATTCAAGCATTAATATATGTGTATGCTAGTCATGAAATCCAAAGTTTGAGGAATTATTAATTATAAAATTGTACCTTTGAGTATTTTTTTCTAATGGCTTAAAGCAGGTCACTCCTGAACACGTCGACCCCAAGCCTCTCTGGTCAACACGTACTGAGACACTGAACTGACACCTAAAACCAAAATATAAGCCGAAATTTCTCTTATTCCGGCAGCCCATCACACCAGAGTGGCCCCTGACCTCCGCGAACGCAACAGTGGCAGATACTTGACCTCGCAGCATCTCCTGGAAGCTTCTAATTTACATAACAAAGAGCCTCGGTGTTGACCTCCTCAGTGGCCCCCGCCAGGAGGCCACTCACGTCTCCGTATACAGTACAGTTGCACGTTATGTGAGCCCCAGTCCTAATAGATCTACTATTCGGATAAAGACCCACTGACTACATTTTTATAGTACACATAAGGATTGATGTTCATTAGGACTGGGACCCATTAGGATTGGGGCCCATTAGGATTGGGGTCCATTAGGATTGGGGTCCATTAGGATTGGGGTCCATTAGGATTGGGGTCCATTAGGATTGGGGCCCATTATGTTTAGGGCCGACTAGGAGGGAGCTCTAAACCTAATGATTAAGTTAGGTTGGGGGCCCATTCACCCAAATTGATGGTGAGGAGGAAATGGTATTAAGAGTTAAAGAGTCTACCTGCAGATACGGAGACGGTGTATTGTTTACCAACTACCAGACGGGAGTAACCTGAGGGAGTAAGAGAGGTGGTCTGAACAGCGAAGTGACCGATGTTAAAGGAACACCACGAAAAAAATAGGACCACCGGGGGAGGGGGGGGGGGGTTAGGAAATACATGATCACTTAATTTTTCGGGTATCACATCGTGGAGATATCTGAATCGGGAGGGGATTTGGGGGTGTTAGTTCACTGAGTATGAGCGTGATACGAGGTCAAGTCGGGTCTGTCCAATTCGAAAAATAATGATTTAAACGTTACTTTGATTTTACGGAAATTAACTTCAGGAAAATTGCAACTGTGTTTGGATGTATACAGGTCAAGGGTTGAATGGATCAGTGAGCACGATGCGAGGTAAGGTCAGATCAGATTAAGGCGAGTAATGATGGCAAAGTGGAAGGATCATGAGGGAGGTAAATTCTCATCTGCTGAAGTTGATGAGTTAAACTGGAAAACTTACCTGAGCGGCGACGGTGGTGTTGACAATACCCTTCTACTTACTTCCAAGATATATGACTTAACAAGGCACCCGGAGAATAAGATTAAAAATACAACTCAAGTAGAACTGATCCAATTCCGGTATCTTGGCTATGAACGTGACCCCTAAGGCAAGGTCAGGTTAGGTCAGGTCACCTTTAGAAATGTGTAATGATAGTTAGAGAATAAACGTGAGTATTAAGAGAGAAGACGAGATAAGTAGAGATAATTATAGCTCTTTGTTTAATGATCTTGAAGGCGACAGGTTAAATGGGCGCCAGTTTTTAATGGAGCCCAGACCAGCCATGAGTAAAGCCTCAGTGTGATCTTGACGCCATTTTAACCATTATCTTGTTTAATGTCGAAGGTTGTGTGGGTTTATTAATTAAGTTTATTGTCAGACCTCCAGTCTGGGACCTGGGTGACTCGTGTGATTCATCTGGGTGACTCATTTAAGTGACTCGTCGTCTATGAGACTCGTCAACTACATGACTCAATACAAGTGACTCATATTAGGGTGGATTAAAAGGCATTATTTTACAATGATATTTATTCATACGAGTATGTACACTATCTCAACACAAAAAGCAGTCACAAGTGTGGGTGTTGGGGTGTATATGTGTAGGTGTCGTGGTGTCAAGAGAGGGTGTAGGTGTCGTGGTATCAAGAGGTGTCGGGCAGTGTGGGTGGGTGGTTGGGTGTGACCCAACGTGTCGTGTTTACAGAGTACAACACGCAAAGTTAATATCCTACCAACATGGTTCACCAAGACGCTACCAGCCATATGAGGATTTTATTGATCAGGACCTTGTTGAAATCTCCTGTAGAAGGCATGAGCGAAGAGCCTCTTACAGCACCCTCCTCTGCTCCCCGAGATGTGAGGGACAAGAGGGGGCGTGGAACAGACAAGGAAAAGGAGGAGAAGTCTGGATAGGTGAGTGGGAGTCAAGTAGGAGAAAAGAGAGATGGAGAGGGGTCATGACCTGGGGTCTTCTGCTGGGGTCACAGAGGTCGTCATGGGGGTCACACAGCACCTATGTGTCGTCACTTTCTCTTGCCTAATATGACTGGCCCGTCTCGTATATGGAAGGCATTTTACACACCTCAGTAAAAGTATTTGAAGGTGTGTAAACATCAACCAGAGATTGTTGGTTTGTGTGCCATGTTGATGTTTGGCCTCACTTGTCAGGAAGAAGATAATACGAAGTCGAAGAAGAAGACAAGGATGACAAATGGTGTGTATTTACATGTTTGGACAGTGACTTTGTGACTTAGAGAATCACCAGTCACCAGTACAAGTTGGTGACTACATTATAACCATCACCAACACCTGAAACCACAAACGCCACAAACACACACACAAACACCACACAGCCACTATATCAGACGCCACAAGCCACTATAGCACACCAAACACCATAAACATCACACTATACACCACCATCACCATACCCACAACATCCCACACTACTGCACCTGGTTATATTAATTGCTTCTATATAAATATTGCTGCCACTTATATAACTGATAACTGTACTACCAGTCACTGTACTACCACTGTCACTGTACTACCACTGTCACTGTCCTACCACTGTCACTGTACTACCACTGTCACTGTACTACCACTGTCACTGTACTACCACTGTCACTGTCCTACCACTGTCACTGTCACTGTACTACTAAAAATACTGCTACCGCTACTACTACTGCAACTCTAAATAATAATAATAATAATAATAATAATAATAATAATAATAATAATAATAATAATAATAATAATAACAATAATAATAACTAGCCTCACCACTAATCTTCCTTTCCACCAATACTATTTTCACATATACACAAAATTTACTTAAAATACGAAAATTTTACACATTAGATATTAATACATTACAATAAGACACTAAATAAAATAAAAGAAGTATATTTTAGAAGCAATAAATTAATAAATTAAAATTATAGATCGAAGACAATAAATTATACTAATACAATAGATTTTTTGACCGAACAAATGTATACAATAATAGTTTTAAGACAGAAAAAATAATAAATTACAATAGATTTTAGACAGAATATTTCAAATTAATACAGTAACATTACAGTAAATATCCTGAATAAAGATTAATACACATGAATAAATAGAAAATCAATAATTACTATACAAAAAAGTTCATATTACAGGATTTTATAAAAGAGTTAAATAAAAGTATTTTAATTGGGGGGTGGGGGGTTGTAGGCGGGGGTGGGGGTTGTAGGCGGGTTGGGGTGTGTGGGGTGTGGGTGTGAGGGTGAGGTGTATGGGGGTAATTAAAGACCAAATTCGAAAAAAAATTAGTATATTTTTACCTCCCCACAATTAATCAGAAGAAATAACTTTATCTTAAGGTCGAGTCTTAGTGTAGTTTATGATTCATTTTGGCTGCCATCTGTATTATTACATTGAATAGGATTTATTGAATAGAATTAATATATTGAATAGGATTAAATGAGCCAGTTAGACGAGTTCTCACATCAACAGTTAGGAGGAAAATTTAACGTAAGATACCATGAGAAAATATAAAGAAAGAGAGAAAGAAAGACAGAAAGAAAATGAAGAAAGAAATATAGAAAGAAAGAAAGACAGAAAGAAAGAAAGAATCATAAGTTTTTGTCATAATCATTGCATTTTCTTAACTAGAAGTACCAAGGCATTTAAAAATTTGCTCTACGAGGTTGTACAAATTATTATTATTATTATTATTATTATTTTGGGAGGATTGGTGGATTGGCCCTGACTCCCTCCCCCCTCCACACGTGAAGTCAATGCTGGCTCCTAAAACACCCATTTCACAGAGGTCCTACTACACAGAAGTCCTAGTTCACAGAGGTCCTAATACACAGAGGTCCTAATACACAGAGGTCCTAATATACAGTAGTCCCAATACACAGAGGTCCTAATACACAGAGGTCCTAATACACAGAGGTCCTAATACACAGAGGTCCTAATACACAGAGGCCCTAATACACAGAGGCCCTAATACACAGAGGTCGTGCTACACAGAAGTCATACTACACAGAGGTCATACTACACAGAGGTCCTAATACACAGAGGTCCTAATACACAGAGGTCCTACTACACAGAGGTCCTAATACACAGAGGTCCTAATACACAGAGGCCCTAATACACAGAGGTCCTAATACACAGAGGTCCTAATACACAAAGGTCCTAATACACAGAGGTCCTAATACACAGAGGTCCTAATACACAGAGGTCCCAATACACAGAGGTCCTAATACACAGAGGCCCTAATACACAGAGGCCCTAATACACAGAGGTCCTAATACACAGAGGTCCTAATACACAGAGGTCCTAATACACAGTAGTCATCCTAGCATAACCAACGAAGACACAGGTTGTACACTCGTCATACACTCAATAGATTTATACTAAAGAAACTTGTAGCCTTAAAAGTAAAAAGTAAATGACTTGCTGTGAATCTGATTTTAGTCTATTTACGACTTTTATCTATCTATTTACCTATTTATCTATTTACCTATTTATTTATCTATCTATTTCTTTTACCTCTTGTCTTCTCTCACGTGTGTGTGTGTGTGTTTCCATGTAAATATCCCACACACATTCAAGGCAGATTCAGCTGTGAGTTTTGTGTTGGGATCCTGTGTAGTGGTGATGTTGATGGTGTGTTCAGGGGGACAAGATGGTGAGAGGCATGTACTCGTCTTTAAGTATAATGGTGTTGATAGGTGGTGTAAGTGGTGGCAATTATGGTGTGGGGGGGGGGTTGTGGGTGGTAGTGTAGGGGGCTATGTGGGTGTGTGGGGGATTGTGGTGATGTGGGTGGTGGACGGAAATAGCAACACAATTATAGGACAGACATTTGCGAAGAAAGTCTTATATATATTTGGCGCCAATTTTCTTCTTTTTTTTATTAAACTTTTCATGATAAAGGAATTTTGAGGTCAAGGATGTAGCACTATAGATACAATTAATCGTTAACTCATTGACCCATGTTACCAAGCTCTTAAGTACAAGAAAATAGCTCAACAAGTAAGATATTTTAACCTCTCGAGTACCATGACCAATTTCCTTGAGTACGATAACACTGTACTCGGAGGTCTGAACACCGTACTCTAGTGGTTAAGAACACGAGGGTTCACAGGGATGGTAAGTTTCGTAGGCCAGGAGTGTCAAGATGAAGCCAGTACAGTGACAGCAGAGCCCCCCACCACCCCACACTAACTACTTTACGGTGTCGAGTCAGGAAGAAAAGGATTCGAACCCCAGTATAAGGAGTCCACGGCGATGCGGTGATGATGTGGTGTCAGGTAACCAGAGAGGTGTGGAGGGTGGTCCAGGCGGGGGCTGGAACGTCACATCCCAGCAGGAGTGTGACGCCCTCAGCCTCAGACGCCACCGAAGGGTACGAGAACGACAAGCTGTCCTCAAGGATCCCAGTCCCCGAGGTTTCACACAGGAGAGACACCAGGTGGGGTTCCGTCGGCGTGGTGGGAGGGTCTGCCGGTCCGTCGGTATTGTTGAAGTTGTGTTCCAATCTGGGTTTCTTGGGGCTGGGAGCTTCCTGCAGGAGGCTGGAGAGGACCCACGAACAGGTGTCCTGATGGGCGTTACCGTCAAGGATGTCCTGGAGGGACCTGATGTAGGCGGAGGCGAGTCTCAGCGTCGTGATCTTGGTCATGTCGGCGGCAGCACGTCTACGACACACCCACGAGGGCAGTACACACCGCAAGCTCTCGAAGGCTGTGTTGATCTGCCTCATGCGGTATCTCTCCCGGGCATTAGCCGTCTTCCTACGATACCTGGAAAGCGGCGGCGGGCGTGGCTTATGTCTTAAAGTTTCGTGAAGACTCCACTCACAGTCGTAGCGGCGGTGTGACTGTCCTGACCGCGGCCGCAGTTGGTACTTGGCACTGGCGGTTCCTGAGGTGTGGCGCACATCAACACTGCGGCTGTGAGGGCCACCATCAACTCCTTCACCCTTATAGTTATCACTGTCATTGCCTTGACTATCACCACCAATCTGGTCATTATTGTTTCTGTCCACCAACTCCTGGTGGTCGAGGTGCTCACCGTCACGGCCACTGAGGGCGGTGGTGGTCGGCAACATTGTTTTACTGGCACACCGTCACACTAACTCACTCTAGTCTGTGTACGGTCAACACAGTGCGTTATGTTCCTGCTTATAACATTTCTGTTAGAAAAAATCCCTTCGTTATTGCCATCTGGAACAAAATAAAAAATATATACTTCAGCAACAAGGACTTTGGTCTTCTCTGTAGCACACCCATCACTTTAAGCGTCACTTAACACTTATAAAACATGAACGTAAGTCAGATAAGGACATACGTCACCTCCCAATAAAAGGTCGTCACTACATTTTCCGGGTGAGTGGAGTGGAAATTCTCACCTGTGTGAAGCTGTGGCAGGGGAGGAGCCTGACACAGGTCGTACATCGGCCACCTCCACCAACACACTGACTCCCACCCGCCCTCTCGTGCTCGCCAGCGCTCCTCTACTCTATTTACATTTCCTACCATCAACTCCAATCAACTCATCCCGTGGTGGAAACTGAGGCTACACGATGTTTTAACGCTTCCCGTGTCAATCTGTACCCAACGTGGACAGTTCTGGGTTAATATGTTGGTTGTTTCGAGGATGTAGAGTCACAGGTTTGACCTAGTCTGTCGGGGGAATATTGGCCTTGACTGTGGTGGGCTGGGAGGTGATGAAAGCGTGCCCGACACCACGGTGTTCTGCTGTTCTACCTTCTGTATTCATTTCATAGACCTAAAGAAACAGACAGACAGAGACATCAGGGAATAGAGGAGCGCTCCTCCAGTATGCCTTACACCCAGGCTACACCACTTGTATATCTACATCTGGACAGTGTGCTAAAAGAGTAAACAGATAACAAGTTGCTAAGAACGTATGGATGCATCAAGGTGTGTGTGTGTGTGTAAGGTGTGTGTGTGTGTGTGTGTGTGTGTGTGTGTGTGTGTACAAGTACGTCTATATGGGCCCAAAAGTCAATGCCCTTCTAACCCTGAACCATTAAACTTTAAACATGTACAGAAAATAAAACAATCAGGTCCGTTGGACAGACACACACACACACACACACACACACACACACACACACACACACACACAATACTCCCCCTAAAATATAAAAAAGGTAAGAATTCCGTATTTTTCTACTTGTAAAATCATTTTACATCTTAAAAGTCAAATCCACAAAGTCAACCTCTTTCAACACACACCAAACAAAGTCAATTCAGACTTTTTTTTGTCGTAATTTTCGGACACAAATTATTCCTGTAACTTATAACGTTATAACAGACCTTCCAGCTCAACCATTGGATATCAGGAGTGACAATACAAACCTGGAGAAGAATAACAACATCTAGCAAAGGTTAACACGAGGAGACCCGTAATAAATACTCTACAGATGCCCCCCAAAACTATCTATACAAAATTATGTTGAAAAAATATGACACAACGGACGAAGGATTTTGACAACCCTACGGAGACAACAGGAGTCACAGTGTTCATTCTGAATTTCATCGATCACCCCAAGTAGAGATATTTTTTTGAGTGACTCTACAGTACTGTTGTCACTATGATCATTCTACTATAAAAATAATTATACAACAGTTCTAAATCCACAAACTTTCTATAAAATTTAAACTTTCTATGTAATTTAGGTTTTCTATATAATTTCAGTTTTCTATATAATTTCAATTTTCTATATAGTGTCACAACTTTTCTATATAACTCCAAATGAGACAGTAAAATAAAGTTTAACTGAACTATACGACGTAACTACGGTTTGATTAAGTTAGATTAGGTTAGGTTAAATCAAGTCAGGTTAAGTTAGGTTAAGTTAGGTTAGATTCAGTTAGGTTAAGCTAGGCTAGGACACATTAAGCCATGTTAGGTTAAGTTACGCTATGAGAGATTAAGTCAGGCTAGATTAAGTAAGGTTAGGTTAGCTAGATAATTAGGTGTTTCTGTTTTGCCATCCGGATTCATTTAGTAGTAAACTAAAAAAAACCCGACAACTGCGAAATAAGAAATCCGCATTTGCTGTACAAGAACGACTAAACCACAACATAAACAGTGGCACTTGAACAGGGACCAGTGTGGTAATGGAGGAAGGGAGAGGAGAGAGAGGGGGGAGGGAGGAAGGGTATAAGGGAGATAAGAGGGAAATGAGGAGGGAGGGAATAGAGGGTATAAGGGAGATAAGGGGGAAATTAGGAGGGAGGGAGAGGCGAGAAAAGGAGGAGGGGAAAAAAGCAAAGGAGGGGGGAGGGAGGGAAAGAAGAAGGAGGGATAGAAAGAGGGGTGAAAAGGAAGAAATTGTGAGAGAGTGAAGGAGGGAGTACTGATAACAGGTGAAGTATGGAGGAGAGAGAGAGTATCAGAGAGAATAAGGAAGCTATTTACAGTAGTCATTAAGGATCTATAAAAACACACCTAAACAAGGAATTAGAGTAAACTGTAAAAAATAAAAAAATAAAATAATTGTAAAAATAAGTAAAAGTAATTATAAAAAAATAATTATAAAAGGTAGGTTTTGTGTGTGTATGTGTGACCTCCGCTGACACACACACACACACACACACACACACACACACACACACACACACGATCACCATTCTTATCATCAGTACTTGGGTGGAACGAGTTACTGATTGATGGGTACAGGTACAGGTTACAAGTTCCAGGTACAGGTCCAGGTATAGAGGTGGCCGGGCTACCCTGCAGTATGGCCCAGTCTAGAGAGGGTAGAGGGCAGGTGAGAGGTCAAGAGATAATCACCTCACCTGTGGAACATCTCTCCGGCTCTATACCTGTCACCTCATTACCTGTCACACTTTCACCTGGATCACACACACACACACACACACACAAAGGTTATATCTCACCCTTTGGAATCTGTCAGGCCTCCCAAGTCCTGTCCAAGTTTGTTATATATCTAGATCACGACAGCATCACCGCTCACCCCGTATATAGAATCACACCTGTGTTATCGTATGGTCAACCAAGGGCGTATATGGCATTGAACCTATTTTATATGAGGCCCTAGCTGCTATATGACTGAGGATAAGTCCGCGTATTCTAACATCTTGCACATTTAACAGATTTACCTGAGTTTAGTTTCCGTGTCGACAAGAAATAACATCAAACATGGCCTCAAGAATACTCTGAGACTCTACCTTAATTAGATACGTTCACTTAGCAACAGTTATTAGATAAATTTGACGTTCAGAACCTTTCCTATGCGGTTGGTTCCGTTCATTTTATCACTTAACTGGTGTAAAGTGAACGTATCAAGTTATGGTAGAGTCTCAGGGTAATTTGAAGGTTATTTCCGTACGATAATTAGCTTAAAGGGTCATATCCGGTGTTCAAAACTGGCACAATAGTGTGTGTGTGTGTGTGTGTGTGTGTGTGTGTGTGTGTGTGTGTGTGTGTGTGTGCCCAAAAATCAACACCATGACAAAAATTAAAATAAAACATAATCTCAGGTGTTGGAGAGACGTGTACTGTCATAAATACACCTAAACTTTGAGTGTGTGTGATCCAGGAGCTGTACCCGTCACTAGTGTGGGCGGCTGGTTATGGAAGCAACACCACCTTCTGCACTACTACTACTACTACTACTACTACAGCTACTACTACTACTACAGCTTCAATACATTTCGTTCAATGAGGGACCAACCCAAGCTGACCTGACGTGACGTGCCGTAACCTAACCTAAACTAACCTAAACCTACCCAATCAACCTAACATAACCAACTCAGACTTAACTAACCTAACCTAACCTACCATAAATGTAAGCAAAGTTCGTAATGATAAGTTAATTTAAGCCAACTTAGTTCAGGTCAAGTTAGTACTGTATTAGGTTAAGTTAGGTTAGGCTAGGCTACGTTAGGTTAGACTAGTTTAGTTTAGTTAAAGAATAACTTTGTCTAGATTATGTTAGGTAAGGTTAGGTTGGGCTAGGCTAAGCTACGTATGACTAGATTAGGTTAGGTTAGGTTAGGTTGGGCTAGGCTAAGCTACGTATGACTAGATTAGGTTAGGTTAGGTTAGGTTGGGCTAGGCTAAGCTACGTATGACTAGATTAGGTTAGGTTAGGTTACTTTAAGAATACACAGGATTAAGTTAGACAAGACTTCTCTCACCAGCCTATAGTTCACCTCACCTCACCACTGTGCACACTCCCACACCCTCATCACTCACCTTATACAACCGCAGTAAATAGACGTGATATATATCGGATAAATTGTTTATTACTCTGTTTGGTTGATATCGATTTAGGTGTTTAACATAACCGGTCGTGTTCCTCCAGGCGCCACCACTTTAAATAACTTCTGACTAGTTGGGATCACGCACCGCCCGCCCGCCAGCAGCCAGGTTGAACAATATGGACGGGGAGATGCGATGATGAGGGGGGGTGGTGGCAGGGGGATGTAGTAGTGGTGATGGTGGGGAGATGTGATGATGGTGGGGAATGTGATGATGATGGTGGGAGGACTCGGGGGTTCCCTCAACAGCGAACCAACGAACCTTAGGACGAGAGGCGAGTGCTCTATCAGCTCAGCCACTGCACCCAATTAGGAGACAAGATTAACACACAGAAGGTTGAAGCTGAGTTATAACTCGGATTAAGTGAACCCCATGCATTATTATCCATCACTTGGGATCGATATGAAGATGTGTTCAATAGACATTTTTTTTATTCGATCGAAATTTTTCCATCTCTCTCTCTCTCTCTCTCTCTCTCTCTCTCTCTCTCTCTCTCTCTCTCTCTCTCTACATCATTACAAAAAAATAATAAATAAAGTTAAATCTTCCGCCTTTCATCTGAGGAGGACACTATCACTTCGGGACCTGGTATATAATTTAACGTGTGCAGTCGTGTGGTGGTGAAGGGTAACAAGACGGTCCACTCCCAGCCAACAGAGATAACAGTAAATATATCCCATTAGTTTATCATTACGGGTCGACCTGAACAGCGTCACGCAACACAAAGGAATATATTGTTGATATTTATATACTTACACGGATATATAAATACGGTTTGTTTTCCTTTCTTAAAATGTTCTTTCCCTTAGTGTGGCCAAGACCAAGGGACACACACACACACACACACACACACACACACACACACACACACACACACACACACACACACACACACACAGAGATCAATAGTTGTAAGTTATTATCTCTGATGTGTTCTGATAATCTGAGACATACATTAACAAACCACAAACACAACCTATACCTTCAATAGCTGTCATTCATTATCTCTAACTCCCCTTAACAATAACTGAGTGTAATTAACTTAGCTTGACACAGTAGGAGACGAGTGTGCCCCCCACCCCCCCCAGTCATGTAGACCTCGGGGTGACCAACTCTTCATATTGTAAGAATTTCTGACTTG